AAGTTGACAAATCTCAGGCTCTCTGTGTTCTTTTTGGCTTTTTGATACCTTTCTCCAAGGTGACGGCTATACTTGCTAGAACTCTATCATGTCTTGAAGTGTAGCCCTATTTTTCAAAGCCACTGAGCATGCTGATAATATGTGCTCCAGGTTTGCTGGTTTACCCAAGAGGACAAACTTTGGATCATCTGTCACTCCCCATATTACCAGATTAGTTGGGCTGGAAAGAACATCATAAACTGATTTCAGCTTAAACTGACGTCTAAAATTTATTTTCCAAGAAAATGATTCAGCTTTTACTGAATTTGTCAGTGGAAATAATCATTACATATTTTACACTGTACCTTATCTCTGTATTTTATTTAGACTAACTTTTGGCTTGAAATCCGACTAACCTTTCTCTATCATTTCTAATCTCAGCTGTTAACAGTTAACACCTTATAAAAAGAGGCAAGTAGCTGCAAAAGAATCTGTATTTTTCTTGGACTGATTTGTCCGTCTGCTTAGTGTAGAGGGAAACTTTCCACAGTAAGATAGAATCATATATGGCAGTCGTAAACTGCAACAGAAGAAATACCAACCAGGCTTCATCTCAAACTACCACTGAGGAGGGGGGAATAGTTATCTGAAATTACAATCTTTCTGGATTAAATTTAAAAATTTACCAAACTGATGACGTCATATTTTCAGAACGGTCCTCCTTGGTGTCATATTCTTTAATGATTTATCATATTCAGATACTCAACTCTTGTTAAAGCCAATTTCATAACTTTTTAAGAACATTAAAATTTTAGGGCACAATAAAGCCCAAACCGTACCTTCTTCTTTGTAGTCGGTGTTTTAAGACTAAGTGGTCGATTATTTTCAACTTTATGTAAAGTAGTATTTGGTAAAGTATTTTTGAGTTTGAGATCTTTCACCTTTTTCGAAAGATTCCACTAAAGCATCGTAAAAATACCTTTTAACGTAGTTCCAATTATATTGTAACATTCTACTTGTAAACCGTCGATTCTTGGAAATTTATTCTAATTCATTTGATACTGCTTCTGTGCATTCTTTAAGAGACAAAAATAGGTTGCAATTTATTTTTTCCTTCACCGTAATTTTGTTTAAACGACGTCAATATTATTCAAATAGCTATCAATGTCATCGTTTGGAATATTTTCATTTTATAGTTAATTTTAATACGTCATCAGTTTTATCTGGTTCCGGTAAATGTTCTACCAAGTCCCTCTCTTTACTAAAATATTAAAGCAGTAAAGGAGGAAGATCTGTACAACTATATTAATGTATTCATTAGTAAATTAATTTTATTTTACTCCTGAGAATAAATATTTACGTAAAGCACCAAGCATACCTAAATGTAAAATGAGCGACCATCTCTCCTGAATTTTTAAATACATAAATATACTTGGTAGTTGTACGGAATTACCGCCTCCATTGCTTTGATATTTTGATAAAGAGCGAAGAGAGGGGCTGGGAAGAACATTTACCGCAACCCAATATATATCTTTCTTTGTGATCCTTTTTTGGACGTTTTGGAAAGACTTGTCTAATATAGATATGGTAATTAAAATTCAATTCGATTGTTGCGAATGCTGATATTAAAAATACTTTGATCGTTATTAATATTAAAAATAAGTGAATAATTTTCCTCATTATAAACTTTATTTACTTCACCAGTAATGGCGTGTCCAGCAGAACTGTACATGTAGTCGTAGGTTGAAGAACATGAGCTGAGGATAGAGCCGCTGTTGGCTCCTGGTTATGTTAACGACAAAAATTAAACTCAGTGTTTAAAAAATAGCTTAACAATTAGTATGTAAAACGTCAAACATTTGCCTTAATAATAGATTGTGTTTGATGACTAGGCATTATATCGGGTGTAAAAGTTGTGAAAGAATGACTGAAAACATATGTTTCATTTACTTGTTCGTCAAAAGCCTGCCATTTAGAAATTATTCGTATATAGATCATGCACTTGCGTATCAAATCATCAGTGAGACAAAAAAACCAATATGCAGATGATACTGATATATTGCTTATTATAAAATAGTAATAAGAAAGGGAAATTGACGATTGCAAAGCCATCACGTTTATCATAAAGCTTTTTTAAAAGTTATCATAAACGCCTTTTCAGGGAAATTTCCAAAAATGAAACAGATTTCCCATACTCTGTGGTACCTATTATTTCAAACTCACTGGGATATATCGAGACAAAATAACAATGGAATTAACTAATGATAAAACAACGTCGATAAAAGGGTCTGTTGATTATGGGGCGTAATTGTTGGAATTCCTGAAGATAGCTCTTGGGAGGCCTGTTCTCCAAAAACACTACATACATAAATATGATTAATTTTCAAAAGTGTATTCTTGATATCAACTTCAGAGTATTGTTTGTTTTAAAAAATAACCTTGCTATTGACCATTGACGAGGTAGGATATTTTACAGTTTCACTTTTATTCGAAAAAGCAGTCTTCAATCATGTCAAAGAGTTTGGACTTTGATCTATTAAAGAATGGTTACATAAACTTTTGGAAATGTCGTCAGTTTTGATATTATTGATTTCGGTAATTAATTTTTTTAAAATTTCTTTTTAGTATTACCTTTGAACGGTTGAATATTCACATCTGATTTACACCACTTAAATTCTTGAATATTTTATGCTCTTGAGGTTTATCCTCCAGTGCTAATTGTATTTAGTGAAGAGTGAAGAAAGAGACTTGGTGGAACATTTACCTGAATCCGATATGTCTCTTTTTTGTAAGGATTTTTACGAAGTATAGAAATCCAGTATAGGTATAGTAATTCAAATTTGTTTTGATTGAGAATAATTTAATTCTGATTGTAACGCTGTATTTGATTGGATAAAAAATTTACTTCATATCGTATAAAATGGGTTGCCTACGTCACAATGACTTACGTAAAAAACGTATCAATCCGCCTGACGTTACATTCAAATTTGGTACAAGTTGAAGTCATTTTATTAGAACAATCACCTTTTTTTCTTGCATCAAATGAATGAAAATTAAATTATAAGCAATGAAAATAGCTACCCATTTTATACGGTATAAACTGGATTGGAACAGTTTACGCTTTTTTATAAACCGCTTCGCGGTTTATAAAGCGTAAACTGCCCCAACCCAGTTTATACCGTATAAAATGGGTAGCTATTAAATTCATTCCTTAAATATTAAAAGTATTTCAAACTACATGTAACATATCATGATTTTTAGACTGTCTTCCTATGAAAGGGAACTTTGGGTGAAAGTTGCATGGATTACCACTTGCAGAATAAAATCCCAGTTTCTCTAAAATACAAATGAAATAACAAGCCTCACAAACAGAGACATATATTATGAGATACCATCAAAAGTCTACTGAATTGTATTATTTTAACACGCCATTCAGGTCTGAAACAAAAAAGATTTGAACGACAAAGTATTAATTTGTTTTATCCGCACCGATGTACGTTTTTGTAAGTTCGGAGTTTCAATGGCAGCGATATCAGACAACAAAATGAATCACAATAGATTATAAGATTTCAATCCAAAATGCACTTTATGAAAACAAAATTGATTCATTACACGCCCCCATATGCGAGATTTAATCTGCATCTTTAATATTGCAGACCGTTCACATTACCTCAGTCTGGCATACTTATGAAAATTCTAAAAGCTAACTTTCATAACTTTGTTACATTTTTATCTTTATCAATTCTTGGTGAACTTTGGTTAAGAAAATGTTTTTTGTGGTTAAATTGAAATATACAGTACATGAGACAATTTTTTAAAAGGTGACAATTTGGGTGATCGACATGCTACATGTACCATGTTGTTTTTACATTAAAAATGAAATGTGACGATATACAGTTTCAAGCCCCAAACTCAATTGTAATATTACAAATAGGAATTAGAGCAAGCTCTGGCCTCCACAAACAACAGAGGTTGGATCAGTTAACAGGAAGGGGGTGGGGGGGGTATGCACTCACTGTCGAGGAAAATACATAGATAATTAATTGTATTGATATATTTCTGGACTTCATTCTATTTTGCATAATGATGGCAACGCATGATCTAAAAATAGATTTGGAAATTCCAACATTGATACAAATTGTTTTGGAAAGCTATTTAAAGCATTATCAAGGGTGGAACAAGCAAAACAGAAATAATGGGGTGGTTATTTTTAAGAATTATTCATAGTGGGACAAGCATCTGTAGTGTCCTCAAAACATTTACAAAAGGTTTCAAAATTTTTTTATCATAAAAAAACGTTTCATGACAAGGTTTATTAACATTTTAAGTCTGTTTCTCTCTTGTATTTGGCTAGGACTTTGTTAAATGCCAGAAATGGTGCATCCATTTTATCGGTGCCATACATATACCTTTAACAATTATTGCTGCTTCTGTTGCGATCAAGATCAACAGCCATAGCTAATCACAACATATTTATCAGAGAGGAAAAACAAATCTAACAAATTAAAAATATATATAATTTTATTGTGAAAACTTCATTCTATTTTGCATAATATGGCAACGCATGAATCCGCAACATACTAGGCCAGGTGAAACAAGCAAAACAGAATTAATGGAATGGTTCTTTTTAAGCATTATTCATATTGAGACAAGCATCTGCAGTGTCGCCCTCTGAGAAACGTTTACAAGAGGTTTCAAAACGTTTGTGATCATGAACTGAAACGCTTCATGACAACTGACAAGCAACACGTCCAGAAGTCGGTGTATTAATCCCAAGGATTTTCTAAAAAAAAAAGGAAAGGAAAAAGTTGAAGTAATCAAATTATATTGCCTTTAAAAACTTTCCAAAGACAAGGTATCAATTGAATTCATGCCATATGTATACCTTTACCAGATGCTTCAGTTGCGATCAAGATCAACAGCCGTAGCTAATCACAACATATTTATCAGAGACGAAAAACAAATCTAACAAATTTAAAAAATATATAATTTTATTATGAAAACTTCCACTTATACCCCTCGCTACTGACATCCCGCCATACTAGGCCAGGTACAGGTCCGATGTGTGACGGAGAAATAGAGACCAGCATTACAGGGTCTAGCTAGAGGAGATCCGAACAAACACTGAATATACTGAGTACAGTCTGAAGGATGAGGAAGCAATCGTCCATCGTTATTAATGCAAGGATTTTCTAAAAAAAAAAGAAAAGAAAAAAAGAATCAAATTATATTCCTTATAAAAAGATGTATACCAAACACAAGGTATCAATTGAATTCATTCTTTAAATAAATCAGTTCCTGCACAGACCTAGCAAGGGTTTATCAAGGGAACTTCTTTTTGACTTCATACTAATTTATTTTCAGTAAGCACGTGTTGATGATACATGTGCCATGCTAACTTTATACATGATAAAATCATAAATTATGGACAAAATCGTTGCATTGTGTGTTTTCCATAAGCGGGGACTCTATCTAGCTTTTTCTTATCTAAAACTCTTAATTTCATTGTAACTCATGTTGATTGTCGCGGGAAGTGCAGTGTCCTAGAACATTACGACGAATATTCCTTTCTCGTTTCTAAAGAAATGGGCGTGTCGTTATGCTATAAGTGACCTTCAAAACATGACTCATAACTTTTCGTCCAAATGGACAATTTTACCACTTCAATGCGCTTCATTGTAATAATTTTTCATGCTTGATTATGGTTTGCAACCTTATACTGTATATTTTTCTAATGGTTAATCTCTCACCTGGTGCGGACGTCGGTGCTGCGGTCGATGGGGCACCTGTTGTCACCCGTGTTGTCGGTGCTAGTTTTGTTGTGGGGACTTGTGTTGTCGTTGCTGGTTTTGTTGTCGGATGTTCTGTTGACGGATTATCACCACAGTTAACACGGTCTGCATTATCACAAACTTTATAAACGCTGCTGAACATTTGCCCTGAGGGACAGTGTTTGGTTCCATATGATTGTAACTTAGTTCCGCCCCAGCAGAGATAGTAACGAGAACAATCACTCGGATCCCTCACTGCCCCATCATACGGACACGTATCTGTAAAATGGAAGGGAGTGTATAGTAAGTAGAAAAGACTTTTTAAGTTACTCAGTATTAGCTTAATCCTATATACACAATTAAAAAGAAATTCACTGCAACATTGCAAAGTATTTTTTATTCAAGGTTACGGGATTCAATACAGTTCTAGTGAGTGTATGAGTGTAATGTAAGATTATGCATACTAGTACTCTTAAGCATGCTGGAAAATGAGGAACGAAAATTCAATTGTTATTGAAGACCATTTATTGTTATTTAATTAATTGAAGACCATCCTTTCTTATAGAGATGAATCGCTTTCAACATATTTTCTATTTACCTGATGGTTTAGTGGTTGTCGGGGCATTTGTTGACGGGGCTCTAGTTGTCGGGGCTTTGGTTGTCGGGGCGTTTGTTGTCGGGGCTTTAGTTGTCGGGGCAATGGTTGTCTGGGCATTTGTTGTCGGAGATTGAGTTGTCGGAGCCTTGGTTGTCGGAGATTGAGTTGTTGGATTTGTCTTTGTTGGTGGTTGTGTTGTCAGCGGATTACAGTTGACATTCCGTGGCCAATCACAAAAATTATTTGCAGGATTGAAGTACAGTCCTGGCTGGCAATATCTCAGAATAACCTTTTTATGCACACATTGATAATAGCTTGTGCAGTCATACTGATTGGGAAACACATATCCATCCGAAACTTTCGCGCATATACTGTCATCTAAAATAAAATGAAAACAACAATCCTATTTATTTCCATGGATATGTAGGACATTAACGGTACAAATAGTGAGAAACAGTACTGTGGGATACACAAAATATGGTTTACTTCAAAATTCACAGATACTTTCATATGCCTAAAGCTTACCAACTTTACAGTATACTTTAAGGACAGATGATACAAACAAACAAACTTTTATCAATCATTTTGAAAACAATAACTTGGGTCATGTTTAAATGAATAAAATGAATAAGTTTCGCCTCGTAGTTTTTAATTTTTTATTCGAAGTTGCACAAAAATATTTGTATAGAATAATAAGGATGGTTCAGAAGGGTAGAATTTTGCACATCACAGAAAGTTTACAATTTTTTGTATATTCTAGAAATCTAGTATTTGCATCATTTGCAATGAAATTAGGTCAAAAAATATATACCGATCCAGGCATCCATTTTTTTTGTGTGTCATCCGTCCTTATGAAAAATTAAGCCCCATTCCTATAAGATTTTGAGAACTAGTAAGTTCTTACCTAGTACTCTATAGGCTTATATGCAATAATTAATATGCCTATATATCTAACTAAATTAAGATTGTAATTTCAGAAAACTATTCCCCCCTCCTCAGTGGTAGTTTGAGATGAAGCCTGGTTGGTATTTCTTCTGTTGCAGTTTACGACTGTCATATATGACTCCATCTTACTGTGGAAAGTTTCCCTCTACACTAAGCAGACGGACAATACAGTTCAAGAAAAACACAAGATTCTTTTGCAGCTACTTGCCTCTTTTATAAGGTGTTTACTGTTAACAACTGAGATTAGAAATGATAGAGAAAGGTTAGTCGGATTTCAAGCCAAAAGTTAGTCTAAATAAAATACAGAGATAAGGTACAGTGTAAAATATGTAATGATTATTTCCACTGACAAATTCAGTAAAAGCTGAATCATTTTCTTGGAAAATAAATTTTAGACGTCAGTTTAAGCTGAAATCAGTTTATGATGTTCTTTCCAGCCCAACTAATCTGGTAATATGGGGAGTGACAGATGATCCAAAGTGTGTCCTCTGTGGTATGTGGCAACGCACTTTGAAAAAAAATTTCAAAGTGCGTTTAAATTGGGACAAAATCAACGCACTTTGAAAAAAAATTTTCAAAGTGCGTGAAATTTGGGACCAACTCAACGCACTTTGAAAACGTTTTTCAAAGTGCGTTAAGAGTTTACATCAATATATTTTATCATGGAGACACTTAACGCATTTTGAAAAAAATATGTAAAAACAAAAAATTCTGGATTCAGATTTTAGTAATTGAAATATTTTATTTGTAATATATCTTTCAAAACACTTATGCATTGATTTACTCCCGTCGAGAAGAGGAGAAGACGGATAGAAGATCTATCAGTCGAAATTTTTATCATTCCAAGACATAGGCGTCGGTAACAAAAAACGGGGGAGGGGAGAAATAAACCCCAAAAAGGATAAGCTGCATTTTCAATGCTTATATGATGTATATCATTCCAAAATAAGTGGGGGGCTTAGCCCCCTCCTCTTGCCCTTAGCCCGGTTTCGATGCCTATGCTATACCTAAAACAGGTACATGTATGTATAATATGTATTTACATATTATGGTATGACGTTGAAAACTTTCAATACAGATGAAAACTAAAAAAAAATGTACGTACAGTAAAACGTACGAGAGAGAAAGAACTTTCATAGTTTGGAAAAATCAAGTATTTGCCCCTTTTTCTTAAGAAAAACTCAATGCTTTAGGTCGCTCACTTTTAGCCCCCCCCCCCCCCTTACATCTACCTATTACAGACTTAGATTTTTAAACAGAGACAAAATAATGATATTAAACAATTGTCTCTCTATTTTTTTTCTAAAAGACCAATTTCCCTTTTATAACTTTTATCAAAACCTAAGATATTTAAATATTCAATATCTCATGTCCTGAAGTGACCTCGTCATAAAAAAAGTTATCCAACCATAATCAATTATTTATCATACCATTTATTTGTGAGAACATTGATCAAGCTTTACATTTTTTTCAAAGTGCGTTAATATGGTCGATATGAACGCACTTTGAAAAAAAAATTTAATTTTTTCAAAGTGCGTTAGCTTGGTCCCAAATTTAACAAAAAAATTTTCAAAGTGCGTAATTTTTCAAAGTGCGTTGTAACAGAGCACATACTATCAACATTCTCAGTGGCTTTGAAAAATAGAGCTAACTTCAAGACATGAAAGAGTTCTAGCAAGTATAGCTGTTACCTTGGAGAAAGGTATCAAAAAGCTAAAAAGAACACAGAGTGCCTAAGATTTGTCAACTTTGTGAAAAAGGACATAAAGTTAATGTTGAAGGAAGTGGTTTGCTGGGGACAGTAACAGATTGGCATATGCGGGCAGACCTCAAGAAAAGATCAATATTTCCATCTAAAATAATAGCTACAAACAAGAGGTCGGATGTAGTCATTTGGTCAGTGGCTACGAGACCGACAATTATTTTGGAACTAACAGTGCCATGGGAATATGGGATGGAGGATGCGTACGGAAGGAAAAAACTAAAGTATCAAAACCTTTCAAAGGATTGTCAACAGAATGGATGGTAGGTCTGGATTTTAGCAATGGAAGTGGGTTGTAGAGGATTCATGGTGGCAGTTTATGTGGGGGGCACTAAGAGCCGTTGGCATAACGGGAGCAGAGAGGAGATTGATAGGGAGTCTGTGTAGGGAGGCGGAATCAGCGTCCCTGTGGATGTGGAAAGTGGAAAGACACTAATCAGTAGTGAGATAGACAGTGAAATAAAACAGTATTGATGACAATAAACAGTAGTAAGATAGACGGTAAAATAGAACAGCAGTGGTGTAGAGCCAAGTGGTTCCAGGACGGGACCTGATCACCCCGTTAGGCGCACCTCTGGGGCCTGTAGTACACAGGGCCGAAACAGCCGATGAAGGAGGATCAACCTGAGGATGGAATCACGCATCTTTCCATCAAAATGTACAAAAGTAATTTAGACCCGGCACTTTTTCTCTTTAAATATTTTTTGTCAAACCTCATATTGTTTGGGACTTGGAAGTTACATCCCTGAAATGCAGTCAAGTCAAGATGGGATTCCGAAAGCGAAGTGTTGGTTATCCATCGAATAGTGTACATTGTCTTTGATGAAAAACTTTTTTTCTGGACCCAAAACAATTTTAAATATTGCAGTTATTTAAGTATTTTTTAAAGAATTTATTTCAAAATACGTGTAACCTTAGGGTCGCCAAAACTAGCATGTGTAAGAAAATACATATTTAAAAAAAAAAAATATTATGTATTTAATATCGAATATATTACTACTTACTAGACATTAGTATACTACACTTTAGTATAAATTGCTTTACAGTAATGAATGGCCTTCATATTTGAAAAGAAAATTAATGCACATACCATCAAGAAGAATATATTCAAAGAATGTGCATTCATAATATAAATGACAATTAAGTTCATTATTAAAAACTCAATTAATTCCACGTTCTTTTAATTTATTTTCAGATTAAGAGATACAGTGTTTAGTAATTTCATAATCAAGTCCGAGACCGATACTTGATTATTTTTCACAGCCTGCACTTTCTGGCCAATCACAGGTGTTGATGGAGACCGAGAAATGCAGGCCTGGCTGGCAGCTCATCTCTACAGGTTCTCCATGTACGCATTGGATGAACTTGGTACAGTCGCTTGGATGTTTCATTAGTTCACCATCATTTCCATCGCAGGTAACTATAATATATATAGAAGAAATCAATCCTTTCATGATAAAAGGCATAATGATGACACACCAAAACGTCCAGACAACAAACATGATGGTAGACAACAAAGGTTTTACCCGCTGGAGCCTCTGTCTCGGGTCCCTGTGTTGTGGGTGCTTGGGTCGGTGCTGCGGTGGTGTCAGGTGGCTGTGTCGTGGGGGCGTTAGTAGGAGCATTGGTTGATGGTGCACTGGTTGATACCTCCACATTACATTCGACTCTATCAGCATAGTCGCAGCCATTGTATACCGTACTGAAATACTGTCCATCTGGGCATTTTATTGGATCGCCAACGCCACCCCAGCAGTTGTAGTATAGAGAACAGTCGTACGGGTGCGGGTGTAGACCATCTGAAGCCGTGGAGCAAAATCCAGAGCCTTTCAGAGCAACAAAAAATGGATTACAACTCAGCCATGAAATCCTCTTAGCAAGCATTTATTTACTTGAAGCATTTCTTAGAAAATGGCAGCTAAAAATAGATGCTTATGGGTCACAACGCTCACCTAAATTTGCATGCCTTGCTCTTTTTCATCAACAGGTTTTTCATACATTCTAAAAATGTAAATTCTAATCGACTATTGGGTAGTAGGGTACCCATCCTATCTCTGGGGGTCATGGTTTAAACAAAATTTAATTTACATATACAAAACCAGAGGATGCTTTTATATCAATTTGATCAATATTGTGTCTACTCTTCTTCAGAAAATATATTTTTAACAATTTGACTTTTTTTTTCATTAAAAATCATTGAAATTTTTCTGGCTTAGACCAGGGTAGCATCGTTTTTGAAAGTTAAACTTACCTGAAAAATGCAAATGTGTCAACTTTTTTCAAAGACTATCATTAAATGACACTAAACATTTTCATTGAAACGTTTCTGGCTTAGACTTTGATCGCTAATTGTGGCCAAACTGTATACCCAGGGGTAATGATTTGAACAAACCTAAATCACTTTATCTTACATTAATGAAAATTTTCATATAACTTTTTACTTTTTTATGACAATTGTTTCATGAGATTATTTGAAAAATGCCTCTGAATTTCATCAGTTTTAACTTATCTCCATTCGAAATAGGACATGGTTTTTTATTTGAACAAATTCGAATTCCTTTTTAACGAAAAAATGAATTATAAATGAAAACAAGTGGTTAACTTAAAGGCGAATGGTGAAAAGTTTACAAGAGCAACAGACAATGGACAAATTTTAATCAGTAAAATTTCACTTGAGCCTTTACATGTAGCTCAGGTTAGCAAAAGAAAAAAATAACTTTACCTAAATATTGTAAATTCATGGTGAAAACAAAGTCGTAGCAGCCAGCAACAGAGGTCAGTCAGGAGGAGATAATGGTAGAAGTCCATTCTTATTCATTACTTTCACCAAAGTCGCACACTTCCACCTTGATCCAAGTATCCCTCTTCATGCAAATTATATGGCCATTCAAAATACGAATTTGAAGGAAGCGGGTAAAGATGTAAATGAGAATATCATTGAATAATCTTTTGATGTGCGAATTGACACTACCTTTGACACCCATTCTTCTGTGAAAACACGGATCCACCAGGAGTTTTCATGCAAAAAATTGTCGACCACGTGCAGAAATATCAAGGCAAAGAAAAGACGCAGATGGCAATCACACGTATGTAATAGATCATGCAAATGCAATAAACCAAGGAGCATAGGAAAATACTAAAGAACAGTGAAAGGATATAGTCGGATATTTAAGAGAGAATGCAGATTCTATAAATGATCTAGATGAAGACTTCAAAGAATATATATTTTAGGAATGCAAGAAAGCGAACAAGCTGAGGTTATAAATATGACAGAATATACGATACAATACCTATTCCCCCGCCCTCTGTGGTGGTTTGAGATGGAGCCTGCGTGGTAGCAGGAGCCTGGGTAGTAGCAGGACTGCTGGTCGGGCCTGCAGTAGGGGCGGCAGTAGAAGGGGCGTTAGTGACAGGCTGGCTTGTGGACGGATTAACTGGCCCACCGCCACCTCCAGATCCCAGGACTTCCTTCATCAAAGAAATCAGGGGATACCTTCCCTCCCCACATACTGTTCCTGTGAAGTCATCCAGGGGAAGAGCCCACGTCATAGCTCCTCCATAGCCGTCCTTGATGATCAGATCTGTTATCTACATTTCAAATAAATGATACTATTGGTAAGAATTAGTACAGAGAAAAGACATATTACTCAGTTTTAAATATGAGGACCAAACACTAATGAAACAAGAGCACCGCAAAGTGGAGCACCCCCTAGCAAAAGAGAAATTATATAAATCAAGGCAGCATATATATTCGACCTATTTTTATTAATTTTCGTAATTTACTTTTTGCAAATTTTCTCTGCTTGTACAATAAAATCTATCACTAGAGCCTAGAGGGCATATAACTCTACACTGCATAGTGGAGCGGAGCGGGAATGATAACTTTTGAGAGAGATTGGCAATGATTGGTACTGATAATACAGTAAACAAACAATTCCAAGACTATACCTAACTCTTGTGAAGTCAAAAGGGGTGGTATCGTTTGATTTTTTTTTTTAAGTTCACAAAATGAAGAAATTTCGGGTTAAAAAGGTAAACACGATTTTAAGTCAATGATATTAATTTCAAGTTATGTAGAAAATTAAAAATAATAAATTCACTCAATATTTTTTTTTGGATTCGAAGTTAGCACTGAATTCTTTCCTAAATCTCCTCGCTGAATTCTTTCCTAAATCTCCTCACCTTTGTTCTGAGACTATCTTTGTCATCATAGCCGACCCATAGTTTCGTACTTGGATTTACAAAATACGGAACTTTGGCTACGGGATCTCTGTATGTTACTCCCTGGCCACTCTTCTGCATCTCACAAATCTAAAATAAAAATTTAGAATGAAACTATTTATATCTGTGGCTAAATTTTTTTCCTCCACTTTAGTTACTACTTCCTAATATGTGATTTTTTTGTTTTGAAAAGCGATTGATAAAAGGTAGTTCTTATATTTCACAAGGCATTTAATACATATTATAATTATACATGAACATATAAATCAATCTATAAACAGATAGAACGATTTCAGTGTAGCTTCAAGGTCATGTTTGTACCTCATAGTAAGACAGAAATCCTTTCTCTTTTGTGTAAGGTCCTGGGTTCCCAGCCCCTGATGCTGGAGCCCCCACTGCGTGGTTAGACGCATCCGACAGTGTGAAACTCCGTCCATATGTACCCAGACCTACGATCAGTTTCTCTCGGGGAGCTCCCTTCTGGTGCCAATAATTTGCTGCAAAGGCCTAAAACAAAGATTTTTAAACCAACTAAAGGATTTGATTAAGACTCAAATGTGAAACGTGAACATTTTGGTTTGTCATTATTCAGGTATAATACAGGTACTTACAACATTCAGAGTTTTATCTGGGTCATTATCTGAAGCGTAGAGCCCGGTGTGCAGGCCTGTGTTTGACTCCCAGGATCCATGCAAGTCGTACGTCATCAAACATATAAAGTCCATATATCTAATAAAAAATCGGGGAAAGGTGTTTTCATCTACTATTATATTCCGTTTTTGAAATAAGTGATAAGAATAACATTTCTGTTGTGTCGATAAGAGGATCAAAGCTTACTGTGCCATCACTGGAACATCATAAGCAGAGTCTGTTACACTCTTCCCCGCACCAACAGCGGCTGTAAATAATAACCGCTCCCTTCCTGTACGAGCGGCTTCATCGTCAAACGCCTCGCGTGTTTCCTGACAATATTAGATTACTATCAATTTAAGGTTTTTTCAACTCTTAACCATGATTAACTATTTTTATTAATTCATTGCGATCACATGACATTCAATTAGCTGCAATTCCAGAAAAAAAAAGCTGTCAAAGAAATTTTTTTTTATTCTAAAAGATTGAGCCCTTATGAACTTTAACACGTTTAACTAAAAAGGAAAATGCTTTAATTACTTTTGTACTGTGAATGGACTATGGTGATATCAAGCTGATAACCTTTACAATACAACAATATTTCCAAAGTATATTAAAAACATGTAATGAAAAAACATTCGTACTTATTTTTGTTAATAATCTGAATATAAATTCACCTTGCAAAAATGAGCAAAGTTAACTTTGTCGTAAGGTTTTCCGTCCCTGTTAGCAGGGTATTCCCAATCCATATCCAGACCATCAAAGTTATACTGTCTTAACCAGCCAATCGCAGACTCGATGAACTCTTTCCGGTTTGCGGCAGTTGACGCCATGTTTGAATAAGCTAGACTTCCAGCTGTCCAACCCCCCATGGCCAGTAGTGTTTTCAGCTTAGGATTCTGTTCTTTGTGAGCATTTACTTGGCCATATCTATTCAAAGTGAAAATATTTGAAACATTCCAATTACAATTTCTCGGATCTTTTCAACAAACAGACAAACAACCTGTACATGTATATTTAATCGATGTCAACAAAAACATGGCAAGGGCCTTTTTAACATAAAGATTTGGAGATCTAGATCTGTCTCGTATCTCGACAACTGAATATTCTTTTTTTTCATTATCATTAAAAATACCTTAGTTAAAAATTTGTAAACATAAAGAAAAATGATAAATTGATTTGAAAATTTTCTGCTGAAAGCGTGACCATGTCCCTTAAAATTCCATTAAAAAAACTTGAACGATGTTGATTTTTTTTTTGTAGGCCCATTATATCACTCTGATTTTTTAATGACTTAATTTTACTATTTCAACTTCTCCAGAACCACTGAGCTTATTTTGACCAAACTTAATAAGAAGTTTCTTTTGGTAAAGGGGATTCAAATTTGTTCAGATAAAGGGACAAGCCCTCTAATTTTTGTGGTTTGGTAAGTTTGGTTCAATAGACCTAGTAGATCTAAAGAAGAAGCAAAAATATTCGGTTCAGGTAAAGTTACAGTAACTCTTTTCCTTTCACTTTTTGCAATTTGACGGCTGATTTAAACATGTTAAATATAAAATTGTATTCGCACGAGTAACCGAGAAGCAGTTTCCTAACCGATACTCGCATCGTCGACGTTTAACCGGGTACTTATTGACAACACTATTTTTCGGTAAATATCAACAGATCAACTGATAAATGTGCCTTGAGAGGAAAATCACTTACAAATTACTCCATTCATCGTTGTCATTCCATTCAAAGTTGGTGATCTTGTTACCATCTAGCTTTCCAAACGCGTAGATGATGTGGGTACAGAGGTGTGGGTCAATATCCGGTGGGAAGAATTTGCCGATTCCGCTTCTGTACTGGGACCAGTTGGTGTAGTAACACACCAGTTTGTACTCCGTCAGCCCTGTGGAGAGATCAAAGAGGATGAAAGGATTTGTAAGTAAGAATACAGTTAATCGAGTTGGATATTTGTGTTTGCCTAAAGCTTTTTTTCTAGAATGCTGCACAACTCTAATAAATATTTCATAACATTGAGAAGTATAAAGCCATTTCTTAGCTTTAATTTTCTGTTTGTGTAGCTAGATTTTGAGTTGTCAAACATTTCCAGACAGAACTCAGTGCTTTTGAAATATGTACAAAAAGAAAAGAAATATCTCTATTTTGCAAAGTCGTAGTGACGTACATATATAGACAATTAATGTAAACAAAAGGCCAAAGTTCCTTAATTGCATGTATAAAGTTATGTTTTCAAACCCTTTTTGATGAAATGGGAAAATTGGCAAATAAATGTATAAAGCTTGAAAAAGAAAATAAAAGGTTCCCCCTCCCCAAAATCAGTAATGAATTAGTATTGGAATGTGTTCTACGTTTTCTGCATACAATTGAAAATTTGACAGATTACTCATTCAGTTTCGAAGGGAAATGAATAAGTATTTTATTGAATCATCATTAAGATACATTGAATTTCAGATTTATTTCTCCATAAGCCTTTCGAAAAGTTTTGATTTTTTGATGGGTACTGTTCATAGCAAGATGTTATTGTCTGAAAAAAAAAATGAAGTAAAAAAATGAAAAGCCTCGTATTGTGCGATCCTTACGAGAGAATCGCTTTATCCTTGTGTCCTCTACCCTAATTTAGAATTTTTCAATTAAAATTTTTATACGCCAATTTTCCCCAGTAGATTTTTTTTTCATTTAAAAAAGACATTGTAATTGCAGACAACCAGAGTTAGCCCCTCGTGCGACCAGAATGTGTTTATCTAATTGGATCTCTAACTTTCCTAGTGGTCTCTGTAGCCCGGGGGTCAGTGCTGATCGAGGTACAAGAAGGACGTAATTACAATGTTTTGATTTTCATCTTTAATTTGAGAAATTTAACAACAGGTGCGACATTGACGTAGATCAATCCTAGATCAGATTCATATCTACTGTCCACTGTCATAATACAAGAGATTTACCAATTTTTTGTCCACCTAAATAAACGTCTCAAATTCACACATGAGTAATACTAGAATTCTAAGTTTAACAGGTATTTATTTTTAACATTAAGCTATATCGCTGAGTCTAACTTGTTTATTTATGTCACAATGGGACAATGTCGAGAGAAGTTCGTCTGAAACATGTAACATGTACATATTTAACAATAGACAATAACATGAAAACAGAATCTGCTTTTGCGTATTTCTGGTCTTATTCAGGATTTACGGAATACGCAGGAATTGAAAGGGTCGCATTCATTATAAGTACAGAGACTAAAAGAATAAGTGTGAGGCAAAGTTACAGGCCTACATACATTTTAACATGCAATTTTAATATTAAACCCAACTATATTATCAATATTGCTTTCTTTGCCTTAAACTAAGTTTAATAATAATCTTTTCCCCAGACTGGGCTAATATGTTAACTTTATTATTCAATTTTTCATTCTCGATACCACACTTGGAAATCAATCCTTATATGAATAGCTGCACCCCTATCCCTCCCCCAATAAAAGCGAAAATCTTACAGCTGTATTATACACCAAATAAGATAAAGAAATGATTTGTAAAAAAAAAAATAAAAATTAAATCATTACCAACTAATGACCGTTATTAATTAAGCATTAGACAAACATTCTCAAAATCATCACAGACAGTACGCAGCTCTAGTAATTTTTTTAAGAGGGAAAGGGACAAGGAGTATAAAAAAGATCGAAACAATTGCAATCACCTGGCTCAAATCGAAAATTTTGTTTAGTTGAGGTTATAAAATTAATGCATTTACATAGAAAATATATCAACTCGAAATACCCCTGTGGGTAGAGGGCGCCCACCCCCTTTTAACTACACATGTCATACTAAGTGTGTTTATACAGAGAAAAGTCTAACGAAAATTTGACATGGAAAAAAACTGTTAAACATTCAACATCCATAACATTTTCGGTAAATAATTACACTCAGAGCTCACAAGTATATTTTACTCACCAAAGCTGGCCAGTGTTGAGAGCAGGAGTAGAGAGAGAACGTTTCTAAAACCAGTCATCGTTCTTGTTGACCAGTCCCCGAGTGTCCGTGTGTATCGCATCTCCTATTATATATATGTACACGCACCCGGTGAACTGGTCTTCGTTAATTTTCGCCATCCTCCGGCGATACTGATTGTTATCGCCAATCTCTTGTTACATCTCACATCCCCCTAACAATTCACAGATTTATAGAAAACTAATTAGAATGAACCGTAATACAATTCTTTGTATATCTCTGAAGTTATTTTAAAGTATATTTTTCTTAAAAAGCAATGCTTACTTTGCTTTGTTTCAGTGATACCTCGATCTTATTCAGAAATAACCATTATGAGTATCTATCATGCATATTTATATAAAATATAATTGTTTTGTGTACTTATTTTGCTTTCTTTTATATATTTTTTAATGAATTATATTTAGGTTAATATGTCTGAATATCATTAAAATACACTTTAAAAATGTTCAATTTCTGATTTTAAAAAATTGCTTATATATCATTTACATGTATAACGTGTCATTTTATTTCACTACAACTGTTAAAATATTCGTTCGAAATATACTATTAACATTTTAATTATTGGATACGTTACAGGAAAAGGTTTGAATTGAATTGCACATATTTTATTGAACAAAGTCAAAAGGATCGGACACAAGTTCAGTAACTTAGATAGTCCTCTCCTAATATAACATTTTGTAAAATTGCCAAAATAAAAAAAAAAACCACAAACATATATTCATATTGTCTACTACATACATTGTATACATCGTAGCAATAGAAAAGAAAAATATAGTATTGAAAAGGTTTTTATAAGCTGCAATAACTTGTAACCGATCCTTCTGTATTAATTATACAATAAAATATGTTCAAAACAAATTTTCAAAAAATGGCTTAAATTTTTCAAACCTTGAGTGGTCATTAATACGAGGGGCGTTCAATAAATATTATTATACCTCTACTGATTTTTCAATATATAGAAGTAAATTGATATATTTTGCTGATTTCCTGAAAATCACCGTGAATAAACCGATTCCCTGCAAAACAGACTGATTCCCTGCAAAAAAAGTATGTTTTTTTGATGAACTGATACACACCTATTCGGAACACTTAGCATTTTCTTTCAACTTACGACAAACTTAGAAATGTTCCGAATAAACTCATGAATATTCATTAATGAATCGAAATGCATCGCGAGTCAACTGGTCCCATATCAATCGGAAAGAACCAGTTTACTGGTAGCAAATGACAACAGAAATGGCGATCTCAAGATTTGCGTAATGTTACTTTCCATTTTACTAAGTAAAAACTCGGACAATGAACTGATTTATTGATACAATGGAATTCTATTCATGTCTGCATTCTGTTTTGTTGTTATTTTTTTATATTTCTGTTGGAATTAAACATTGTTACAGAATACAGTATTGAATATAACTTTTTCATATGTCTTGTTTGTATCGGTATAATAAAACAGTTAAAGTATATCACTGAGGGAGTCAGCAAGATTCCAGTTCCCCAAGAGTAAGTCTATTTCCCTCGGCGCAAGCGCCTCGGGAAATAGACTTACTCTTGGGGAACTGGAATCTTGCTGACTCCCTCAGTGATATACTTTAACTGTATAATGTCATTGGGGCTCAGAAAGAAGCAAACGACGCTTTTCAATGATTTAGTCTTCATGATTTTACTTATTAATCTATTTTAATTCAAACACATGTCCGTAACATTTTTTATCCAATTTCTGATTGTTTTTAGAACTCATTTTTGGGTATGACCCTTAGTATACTGGAAAATGGCAGATCCAATGATTTCCTGGACTTGTTTTTTCCTTCTGAAAGGTGTTTTATTCAAGTTGGAAATAGAAACAAGTCAAAAGGTCAAAGATCTGGCAAATATTGTTAATGTGAAAAAAACATTAACTTTCTGTTTATCCCGTAAACCCCTTTACTCTTTAGGACATGCAGGTTTAAACGCTGTCATGAAGAAATTCAATGTAGTGGATTCCTGATCCTGGGTCCTTTCTCTGATAAACCTTTCGATTTCTTTGCAAAAAACTGCTTTCTAGACACCTCCAGATATTAAACTGTCTCCCCGAATACGAATTTGAACAATAATACCACTAATATTTAAGAAAATTGCATATAAATCTGTTTTTGTGCTCTTGCATACCTTTGCTCTTGACAGACCTTCGCCGTTTTTATCAAGTACATCTTATGCTAAATTTTGTTTTAATGGTTTTAAGCAATAGATTCATGTTCCAATATCTGTTTGAATATAAAACAAATGTGGATTACTACAATTACTGATATTTTAAAATAATTGTTAAGACTTTTGTACACGCTGTCGTTTTCACTCATTTTTCAAAATACAGGGTGACCTTAGAGTACCAAGCTTAATTACTGTCAAACATTTCTTAAAAACAGTGTAAACTACTCCCGATATGATTTCTATCAAATTTGCTATGTGTCTTAAAGTCAATCATACAACATCAAATATTATTTGTTGAAATTTGGCAAACAATACATAAGTTGTTATAATTTTTGTTGGCAAGGAGGGTACCCATTTCTGATGCCCATTATATAATTTTTAATCTTTGAAATCCACCTGCTAATTTGTCTATAAAACAGGCATCGGTTGCTGGAAATGTCACATATGTCAGTGAATATTTCTTTGCGATTTTTAACAAGTTTTACAGCAGCTTTAATGTAGCTTTTATTTTCACTTTAGTTTACTGATTCTTTACCATTCATTTATAATGCAGTGTCTCGAATAGCCCTTGTTTCCAAGCTTCTCATGATAAAACTATGTGATGAAAAGTGGTCACATAAACTGTTATAAATTCATTAAAGATTCAATAATGAGAGAAAGTCAAGCTTTATGTCATATGACTACTATGTTGTATGTCATCGAGCTAATGACATTATTTATTGAACGCCCCTCGTACCTCTAGAGAAAAAGATACACGCTTTCAGTAAGTATAACCACCCTATCTCATTCTACATTCAATTTGTTATATTTCCTCTTGTTTGTAATTTGGTGCCTAATTTTTATAGATGCGGTGATTTATATCCTTATTGAACACTTTCTTTTGCACACAAGTAAAGCCATTCATTTTCCATAGTGAGAATGAGTACATTATTTATCTGTTAGATACACATCTTTTTAACGGGCACGTATCATCGATTTTGAGATGAGATAAAAAAAAAATAGATAACTTACCTAAAATAATTCTTACAGTATGCAATGAATTGAAATAAAATAAATGAACAATATAACAAAACAAAAGCACCTGTCTTCAAATTAACTTCTTAAAAAAATCATGTTACGTGAGGATTGGTCCAACTTTTTTAACGACAAAAATATTAATTAATAAATATACATGAGAGGAATTTACTATACTTCAAAGATCAAAATTCGAATGATCATTTTCAAACTTTATTAACAGCAAAGGATTACCTTTAGAAAAGAAGAGAGGCATACAATTATGAAGTAAACGGTTGACCCTCGGGGCGAGAGAAGAGAAAACAACAGGCTATAAATAGCATATTAGACTAAAATTGGCATATCAGACCATATCTGGCGTATGAACGAGATTAAAACCTTGATCGTCCATATGGTTCATCATAATCTTTATATCCATACTTATTTATACTTTTAAAATTTTCTACAAACCCTGAAGGATAGAAAAGTTAATTATTATTAGCTTTCAATGTTTAATACGAGTCAATACACTTTTATTCACATCGTAAATAGTGTCACACATTTGATAATAGCGATGAAATTACATATTATTTTTAATATCCTTTGAAATACGACAGAATTTTAATTAAAAAGTAAATGAACTGAAAATAACTCGAGGAGTGGACCATTTTAAAAAAAACTAAATCTCGTGGATGCTTAGTTAAACTGACCAAATTAAAAACTTACAAGGACATGTGTCAGTGATGAGCTAAAACCATAGATTCACCGCCTCTAAGTTAAGCACTGGATGTGATCACCAGTAGACCCTGTACATCCTTAAGCATCTCCGCCTTTTATTGTGAAATGCAGGCTGCGGCAATATTACATATAATTTTTACAAAGTGAAAGCTAGTTACAATGAAACATATGGAGATAAGGAACAGTATTCAAGATCAAAAATCCACAAAACAATGCAAAATAGGAGCAGAGCAAACACGGACCTCCAAAACATCAAAGGTGGGATCAGGTGCCATGGAGACGTAAACATCCCCTTCCGGCCGGTCACACCCGCCGTGTGCTCCTTGTCATGATCAGGAAGTAACAGGAAAATCCGTCGTCAATTTAGTGTATAAATAATGGAATAACAACTAGTATGAAAAATGCCAGTCAGCATTTGACTCAATTATAAATTTTACTTGCTGACAGGGTCATTGTATAGACCATAGAACTTACGAAATGGTGACTTTAAACGATAATACTGAAATTCTTTTTTTTAATAATGCTTTATTTTAGAAATTTTTCATACATACAAAAGATCAAAAATAAACCACACAAACACACCCTCACACACCACACGCACTCTGTGCACCTTTCTTAAAATACCAGCTGTTCATAATTACATCTAAAGTGATAATTGGAATTTTTTATGTATGACAAATCAAATCAAACATTGCCCATTTACTATACATTTTAGTTCTACAATGAAAATTGCTTTCACAATATTTTTCAATTTTCCTGTTATACTTAAAAATGTTAATTGCTTCTGTAAATTTAGGTATATTACATTGAGTTCTTGAGTAATACAAGTACTTTTTTCCTAACAAGATGAGAAAATTTTCTAAACAACTTCCTTCAATAATACCCAGCATCGCCTTTCGTTTTGAAATTACATTACCATTTTCAATAGCTTGATACCAATTTTCCAAATCTCTCCAAAAGATGGTTACATGTATACAATCATAAAAAAGATGAATCAATGTTACTGGATTTGTTTTACAGAAAGAACAAAAATTATTTTCAGCAATTTTTATCTTGTGAAGAAAAGAATTTGTGGCAAGGAAGCCCATAAGAATTTTATATTGAAAGTAAATTATTTTGGTTTCCTTTGTG